AATGTTGCTCACCAGTACTACGCGGGATGACTGATGCCACAGGGATGGGTCTTTCACAGCACTTACTCCAACTCATCCAGACTGTGCCAATGAAGTTTCTTCTCTAGGTATCTCTCAGCTGGGCAAGTGACACCACCAGGCTCGTGATTTTATGCCTCCATAGCCAAGACTACCAAGTTACAGATCCGAGCCAGTAACTTTTAAGATTCTCCTGCGTAGACCCCCGGGGGGGGAATCTCTTTCTGAAACGTTGTCTAGCTTTATTAGGTTTTTCTGGTTTCCTCATTGTGTAATGTAAATATGAGCCATTTCCCTTGAACGGTTTTTTTAAGAAGGCATTTCTCCTTTAATGGAAAATTTTTGCTTCTTTTACCTTCATGAAATCAAGAAACAGAGTTAGGACTCTTTATTTATTTCCATATTTTCTTGTAACTTTTTATTTGTTTCTCCATACCGCATTCTTATTTGTTTTTCGTTATCTATATTCATTTGTTTCAGTTTTGTTTAAACTATTATGAGAAGAAAAGTGTTCCTCCCCCCGAATCGTAACGTATGAAAATTTGTACTGTCTTCAACTTTTCCTCGAATGCAGACTTCAGAATATTATTCCTAAATTTATTGTATTAAATGCAACATTAAAACTTTCATTAGAATTTACAAAGTGTCCCACTTTCTTGTGTACTTTCTTAAGTTCTCTTTACTTTCTACAGTTTCATTGGTGTAAATAAAGAAAATATAAACATTAAGTACGTAAATGTGTGGGAAGTGTTGGGTTTATCGTTTAATGGCCTTATCAAACTCTGGATCAATCGAGATTAACTAAAACGTGTTGTAAAGTTCCAAGGATTTGTTCCCACTCATAATTTTTTATTATCACATTTCTGTTAGGCGTCAATCTCTTACTTGAAAACTGTCTTACCTCTGCACGTAGAATTATCTTAAATGCTATTGCTAATACAGCCTTCCATTTAAATATTGATAAGTTCTTATTACTGCGTCCACAGCTGACTATCTGAGATTTCTGGCAGATAAACCGAAGAATCGCTATATTAAGGACCACAAGATGGGCTAAATGATAATTTCAAGCAACTCTCTCATTTACAAATTCCCATATTATAATAATACACTAAAAGTTCACCCACACTATTCGCCCTTGTAGTATACGATTATTTTTTATTCGTATATTAGATAGAACAACTGAACTTGAACAAAAAGCATTCGTTTAAGGAAGTCATCATTTAAGCAAATATCCGTGCAGCAATTTCTGCACTAAAGTATCAGAGATAAAGTAATGCTATGAAAATGCGTTTAAAATAACACAATATTGCCAGGCACAAAAGAGACTTCATTCATGCTTAAAGACATCATTTTCCATACTTCAAGGAACCCGTAATCGATTGTAAGGTGCTATCACATTCCTTCGCGACATGTTTTAAATCCAACTAGACAGTGAACATCCGTGGTTCGATTCCCGGTGAGAGGACAAGTTGATTTTTTACATTTCCTGCTACCAAATTTGTGAAAGTCTTTAAAGTACGCTTGAACTAAAATCTGGTGAATGCCTTATGTTCCCATCTGAATTTTTCTGACTGGTTTTCATACCTTTTGTTAATTGCTTTTGTTAATTAAGTAAGGGAGATGTAAGGAATTTTCTCATTCTTCCGTGCATACTATTATGATATAAATAGTGATGATAGCCCTTCGGCTAACATGTAGAAGTTCCATGGTTCGAATTCTGACGCAGGTACAGTTGATGTTTCAATTTACCTTCAACGAAAAGCCTTTGATTCATTAAGCGCACCAGAGGCAGAGCAGTAAAGTAGCTGAACACTGATAGTTTATTCCTAGATTCGAATCCCGCGAACTGGCTTGCTGCATAGGCGGTTTCGTGGTTTTTCTCTTATGTAACGGGTATACAAGTCAGTTTCCCTTAGAAAATCCTTCATGAGGGCGTCCCTTCCCTTAGGCAGATAGCCCTTGAGGCTTTGCTGTAATCACATAAACCAAACCTTTGTCATTAAGCATTCACTGTGTGATGTATAGTTGATTTACTAATAAAAACTGTATTAACTTCTCAAATCCTGCTGTAAATTTTGACCGACTGTATTATAACGTAATTTGCGTTATAACATGTGGCGAGAAATCGCCCATTTGGCGACAAAATTAGCGATATGCCATAGACGGATGGAGAAACTTCTGGAACAAATTCGTACCGGTTTAGCCCAGAATATTCTTGAACACCAGCCAAAAGCTATATAAACCCTGCTGGTACGTGGAGAGTCAGTTAGATAGTCCATGCGGAGTCCATCGAGTTCATAGTCACTCTGTGAGTGCCGAGTGGGTCGTCGAGTGCACCGAAAGAGTCTCTTAGTGTATTAGTCTCTTAGTGCAACGTAGTTAGTGCAACGTCGAGAGAGTGTGCTGAGCTCCGGGAACGACTGAACCGAGGAGTCGGGAGCTGTACTCTTGTATTGCCGAGTGCATCGCGAGTTGTAGCGTGAAGAGTCTCGAAAGTACGTGGAGTTCCGAGTCGGGAGCTGTACTCTGGTGCTTTGCCGTGAAGCTGTCTCACTGTTATAGCCTGATAATGGGAAGGATGTGTCGCTGATCGTGTCAGCGTGTTTACAGTAGTTCTTCGACGACGAGTGATTTTGGTGCTGTCCTTATTAAAAAAATTATTGCGTGCATACGGGTTCGTTATGAATTGAATGTACAAGTCTGATGAAAAATCAACAAAAAAATATTATTATCATAATAAATAAAACAAAATGCTTAAATTTTCCTCAGCTATTTGTACAGTATTACAATATCACACATTAGTTATCTTTTGACTACTCAAACGTTCAACAGAACTTAATTCAAAACAGCTAAAGAAAGCTAATCCGCGAATTCACTACAGTCAACAAGAGCAGTTTTCTAGAAAAACTCTTAAAACACCAAGTAATTGAATGCAATTGCCAATGATTAAAAGTTACGGAGTGCCTATGGTTCGAAAATCTAATTGAATTGAGAGGTTTTCCTCCTTTTTATAAGCTTTTTATAAAAAGCTTTTTAAATCACGTGCAAGATTGTTCTAGCACTTTCTCGAAATCTAAAAGAGATATTTATTTATTAAATGTTAAATGCACATGCTCTTGTATTTTTAACTTTCCGACTTTTAATATTCGTCATCCGCTGCACTGCACGTTGAATAAAACAATTTTATTTTTAATTCGACTAACATTAACTATTTAAATACCAAATCTGTAACAGTACGAACAGCTTCTGTATGAACATATGCTTGATACTTTGGTATTTTAAATGACCTTGAATGTTGTGTTAGATGTTTTTGTGCATTTATTGAGTAAAATTTAGATATCTTGAACGAAACAGAGCATGCCATTAGTTGAAAATATCTCTAGGAATTATTTTAAAAATAAACAGTAAAAGGGAATAATTCCCCGAAAATTCATATTCTAGGAATGATTTGAAACAATAATATTCAATAAACAAACGATCAAGAAGTGAAATTGTCCATAAAATTTTAAATAAGTGATTATGCTCGTAATTTACTTTATGCAGCATATACTGCGAATTCAAGGAAAAGGTGCATTAAATCAAGGTTAATGGATCATATTATTAGTGTTATTGATCTTTGTTATAATCATAGCTGTATATAACTTTCAGAAATTAATTAGAGCATAGGATCAGATAGTAATGAATCGGAAAAGTTGAAGAATTTTTAAACAGATGTAAGTAATATTTGTTACCAAAGCTAAGTGGTTTCTAGGTAATTTAGTTTAAAGATTATTTTAGAGTGATTCACAGAAGAGAATTACATCAGTTTGAAATTTAAAATTAGGCAAATTTTAAAATTTCATTGGTTTTATTGAAAACCATTTCCATTTTCAGGAAAACTGATGCCAATCCCCTTTTTATCAAGCAGAGAAAGCGTTCCATTTTTCCTTGTTGCCATTTAGATAGATTTAAATTATTCTGCGTTTACGAACAACGATTGAAATGGCAGTCGTTAAAAACTGCTAATTCCAGGGTTTATTTATCCTTAATATCAAATTAATTTACTGTTCACAAATGTAAATAAGTAAATATAAGTGTTATATTTGTGGAAATGTCTCACTCCAGCTTAATTAATTTACATATCCAGTAAAACTTTTATTTCTGTAATTTTGCTAACTGAAAATTTCCGATTTCTCTCGACAGGTCGGATATCTTAAATATGTTTGTTGTTTGACTTCTAAAATAACCTTAAATATACTTCATCGATATGTTTGATAGGGCTCCCCAGACGAAATATTTGGAAGTGGTCGAGAGGTTAAGATGTCTGAATATTGGTAGTTTGACATAGCTTGGATTCAAACCTAGGAGAACAAGTTGGCTGTATGGTAGGTTTTCGTACGTTTCTATATTATGTGTGACGTCACTACGATTCAGTTTTACTTAAAAAGTCCTCAACGAAGGCATTCCTTTTGTTAGGCAGACTGCTCTTATAGCTTATAGCTTATTCAAATAACTTAACCGAAATGCTTGGTAGATCGAACTTTTTTCATAGGACGCTAAATTATTTTCTATGCATTTTTCTCCAAAGTACGAAATATGATTTTAATCTCTAAAACGTAGACATCTTCTTTGTTAGAAACTATAGATGAGACAGTTGCATCACCGAATTTCTTGCGAGGGATTCGAGATTCAAAAATTTGAACCTTTCTCGTTTTCCGACTTTAGAATTCTAACCTTAAAAGGTACTTTCTCCCTCCTTTCTGCATGCATTCGTGGTGTAACAACAGCACATCAGACGTATATTCGAGAGGTCCAGGTTCGAGTCCCGACGGCACTGCGCATTTTTCATATCTCCTGTTTTAAAAAAAATCTAATGTCTCTACAGTGGCGTCCGAACTGAAAGGCGGGTGATAATTAGTCACCACGACGAACTGGCGACTGGGTCCCCGAATCTTCCTTTAAAAGGGAGTGTATATAAGGTATTTTCTCCCTCATTTTCGCATGCCTTCGTGGTGTAACGGTAGCACACTTGGCTAATATTCTAGAGGTCCAGGTTCGACTCCCGGCGAGGGCATTACACATTTTTCACATTTCTTGCTTAAAAAAAAAAAAAAAAAAAAAAAAAAAAAAAAATTGATGTCTCTACAGAAGAATAAAAAATGTGATTTTTTATTTGAATTATGTACAGACATTTTTACATGTAAACAATTATTGTAATTAATATATGCAGTAATTTTCTTTATGTCTTGTTCATAAGTGTGTGTAATAAAAAAGACTTTACGATATTGATGGCATAGAAATATAGACAATTGAATCCATAATGAAGCGCAATAATTTTGATTGTGTAGAATGTTGTTCCATAATGAATAGGAAACTGGCAGGCGAGGCAGATTAAATCGTCATTTTTATTTCAGTAAACATTTTGCGGCCACAAACAATTTGGCACACTACTTATGCCTATTTAAATGTTTACGTTTTTGATAGACTAAAAGAAGAGAGTAGCAGGCAATAGACCATCTAAGCCGAAGTGTAGAATGCAGTTGCGTTGTGTTCAGGATGAAATCTTAATTCAGAGTGAGATAGTTTCGGTTCTCAATGCATTGGATTGGATAATGAATATAACTGTAAAATTATTATTGGCGGTTTTAGTTCCATTCGCATTACCAGCATTATGCAAGAATCATATGACATGGATTAGTTTCGAAGTGAGGCCGTGCAGAAAAAGCTTCTAAAATATTTTTAGAGACGGGAAATAAATTTAATAAGCTTCAAGAAGCTATTGCTAATTTAAATAATAATTTATGTTTTACATATTTTTTACTTTACATATTCCCTTTTAATAAGCAACTTAAACAGAAACCTTATCTTAATAGGCTGCCATATTGGATAACTGCGCACGCATTTGTTTCTAGCTCTCTTGCCGCTGTGAAATAAAAAAGAGTATGCGCCCTAAGAATTAATTATCCAGGATTAGTATATATGGAATTTACGGCTACGTCTGTCTTCGAGTGTCATTTTCTAACTACGCAGTAGTCGTGCCAAGTTATTAATATGCAAAGAGCCATCTCACCAATCCATTGTAGCTCTCTCCTATTACACACACACACATACATATCTATTTGGTAAAAGTTTACAATTGGCTGCCCCCCCCCTTTTTTTTTTTTTTTTTTTTTGACGATTCTTTTTTGACTCCAAGATCGGTGCCAGGAAGGCACAATTTCAAGATGGCCACTACACAAAACCAAAACAAAAAGTCGAAGAATTGCACAAACTCTATGTCCATGTACACATCGATCTGTTTTCACTTAAAAAAACATCTCAGAACTGCACAAACTAGGTATTCCGCACTGCCTTAAATTTGTCCATGTACACATCAATCCATTTTCATTCAAGAAAAATCGAGAAGCTACAACAAAGTTAAAACTATCATGGTAACCAGAAATGAGGTTTCATCGGCAAAATTTAAAAAAGAAAAAATTATCGCTAATTGAAGCAGCACCCAATTCTACACTAGAGCCATATATTTTTCAAGCGTATTTTTGCTTTTGCTACTCATCAGTATGAATATTTGATTACTGTAATTGTTTCTTTTGCTCCTTTCAGTTTCGGCTTATCGAAGTTCGACTATGGAAAGATTTTACTAATTAGTAAATTCTGATAGGAGTTTTGAATGAAAATTTAAAATTTCTGAAGCTACATTCCGAATTTTCTTTTAATTTTATTTATTGAATAATAAATATTAAGGAATAATTTCACTTCCAATATTAAGTTATAGAAACTTCAAGAAAAGTCATTTTCATCTTTCATGGGTTACTGTGATTGGTTACTTGTTTTTTGAAATTATTTTGCAAAGTTTGTTGTAAGCAACACCTAATTTTTATCTGCCTACGTATAATCTGATTATTTTGATAATATTTTTCTAGTAATTTTAATGCGAAATTTTCGTGGGCTGCACCCGTTTCCTTCTACCTACATATTCTCTCATTAGTTTGATCTGCCAATCAGTGATCTGTCATTTTATATTTTAAATACGTTTCTTCCTAACCTTTTTCTTACTGCACTATTATTGGTGGCCTACATTATGGTATTTTTAAGTTAATATATTTAATTATATTAATATAATTTAAAAAAAAACAATTTCTCAAACATAAAAGGACATTTCATACAAGATATGCTTGCATTCGTTTGTTCATTCTAAAAAATAAAATAAAATAAATTAATATAAAGTTGATTTTTACTTCCTTGTACGAAGTAAAAAGGAAGTATTGTAATCGCGAAAAGTTTCAGGCAGCATATTTCAACGAAAATATCTATTTTGACCGCTATCGAATGCAATTTAACGATGTTTTTGCGTGATATCTCTACGTAAGGACAGAATAAAAGACTCGTTTCCTCCAAAAAAATAATAAAACTGCTTTAAAATTAATTCTGAAGATAATTTTTCGTGGCGTCTGTACGAACGTATGTACGTACGTACGTATCTCGCATAACTCAAAAACGAGTAGCCTCAGAACGTTGCAATTTCGTATATAGGACTGCTATAACATGTAGATGGGCACCTCGTATTTTGGTTGCAATCGGCCGCACCAAACGTATATAAATATATTTATATATATATCCACTCTGTTACCCGGCTCAGTGATCTCAGTTTCTTTACTCTTATATGTTTGTAAATTGTACATTTTTTGCTTTAAAAATGATGGAATTATGTTGTTTTTATCTTCCTGTTAAGGTTTTTATGCCTTTAGTAAATCTGTGTGCAATAGTTTTAGAATTATCAACAATTTTAAAGTTGTTTAAGTGCCGCTAAGCCTTTTTTTACGGCGGCCATTTGAAACAGCAGACTAGTGGATTTGTTGCCAATCTAGAAAAACTTATCTTCGCAACAACAAAGATAACGCCTTCATTTATTATTGACAATTAAATCATGCTTAATCCTTTCTGGAATTTTTTCGAGGAAATAAGTGTTTAAGATTTACTTCGTAATTTTTAATATAGACTGTAAAGATCATGACTTGTAAATATCCTGACTTGTAAAGATCATGACTTGTAAAGATCGTGACTTGTAAAGATCGTGACTTTTAAAAATCATGACTTGTAAAGATCGTGACTTAAAGAGAACGTGAAATATAAATAATAGGAAAAGGACTTGCATTTTACGGTGTGGCAACAAGAAGGGATTCGGAAGATTTTTTTTTTATATATATTTTGTTTGGAGAGTTTAAGATTTTTAGTTTTTTAATAGTGGTAAGAGTTTTAACTGTAGTAGTTAAGAGTTTAAAATTTTGATAGTTAAGAGCTGCAGCATTATTTTTTGGTTCTGTTTTAAAATTCAAATAAAAGTATTTTGTTCATTCTGAAAATTTAGCTTTGTTCTTCCTACAAGGTTCAATATCCATTATATTGAACGAAGGAAAAGATTTTTACTTAGACATTTTCAGTTTTTATGTATTTTTGCCTTCTCGCGAAGTTCTGAATTAATTCTGAATTAATTGAATGAGAAATACTCAATCGTCTGTGAAAAACTGTTTCTTTTTTTGTTTTGTTTGCTTAATTTCTTTTATACATCATTCTAGCTTTATTACAGTATTTGAATAGAACATGTGACAACGATTAGATAATTCTATTCTTTAAATGATATAAATTTTGTGCATTATGAGTTATAATATGAACGAAATATAATACTGTTAGTTAATCTAGGGCCAGAGTGTCGCTATGGTATACAAATACTAGAGTGAATTTTAAAGAATGCATTTATTCTATTGTAGTTTATGCGCTGTCGGCGAATTAGATTTAATTCAATCCAATAAGTTTAAATGAAATGCAAGAAAAAATGCGTGTAATTTAATATTCCGTACAAGGAAGTCATGTGGTGTACACATCAGAATTTTTATTAAGCAAAAATGACTGGGCTTTTACAATTCATCTGTTAGCCCATAAACAACGCGTTTATGTTATTTATCAAGGCTAAACACGAAATTGAGACCATAAAATTTGAAAACAGTTTAATAAAAAAAAGGAACCTAAAAACAAAATCTCAAAGCTTTCAGATTTTATACTAGGCCCAAAGGGGTGTTTTTTTAACGTTTTGTGTGTACCTTTATTTATTAAATATCATGTTCTTCGCACTTAAACCATAAAATTCAATCCAACAGTAATATCGCAAAATATTTAAGAGAGCATAGCTTTAGAATTTCTGATAAACAGTCTCGCGCGCTGGAGATAAAAATGCTTTTTTTCCCATACAGTGTTGCCATTGCTTCCTTTGAAATCGTTGAGTTTCTTGATCAAAAACTCATAAATGCTTTACAAAATATGAAATAGATAATAAAACAAATTCCAAATTTGGGCTTCCAAATGCCCATATTGGGGTGGAGACGAACGTTATTCAAAATTTGATGGCTCTAGGTACCATCGTTTTATCACAGTGGGAGAAACATGCATACATTTATGCAGATTATTCATTATTTAATTTCGTTAAATATAATACAGGTCTGTAATATTTGGTTGTAACAATTTCAAAAGTTATTCGCCATTTATAGTAAATCGACGCAAAATGCCAAAACGAAATTAATAGTACTTCTGAGCTCAGTCTTCTTTTGGCTAAAAGTGAGAGAAAATTACCTAAAACTTATAATTTAGATAATTTACATCTTGAGCTTATATCATTATTGAATGAATTTATGGAACAACATAGCGATTGTTATTCTAATAGTCAAACGAATGAGTATCAAAATAGGCAAAATTTTTATAATGGCAAAAATTACGACATATTATAACAAGAGAAGTTAGATCTGAATTATCAAAGAAACTGTTCTAGATATATGCGCGATCTTAAGTCTGATAGGGACTTCTTCAGATCGATGCCTCATCAAAAATGTACGGATACCATTATGCAAGTCGATCAGGCGAGCGTCCTGTTATACAGATGTTCGTACCCTTACGCAGATCCTAACCATCATGGAATTACCAGCATCTTTTGTCGATGCATCGCTATGCAAGTGACTTTAATTTGTTTTATCGATTAATTAATTAAGCAGGCTATGAAATAAAACCTTCGCAGCTTTATGCAGA